CCCCTGGTGTTGGGTCGGCCTTTCGAGTCTGGGGCTGCCTTGCACTTGTTCGCGACACCTCCGCGGACAAGCTCTCGGCACGCGCCGTCCCCTGTGTCTTCCTTGGTTTCCCAGTGGACTCTGCTGACTGGTCCTTTTACCACCCTCCCCTCCACCAGTTCCTAGATTCCCGTGACGTCCGGTTTGACGAGTCCGTGTCCTACTACACCCGGTACCCCTGTCGAGGTCTCCCGGTACCCCCTCCCCCTCTCTTCCTCGCACCCTCTCCTCCTCCTGCTCCCGCTCCTCCGGTACCCCCGCCCCCCCCTGGTCCTGCCCCGTCTGGTGTGTCCCACGCTACCCCTCTCCCCTCGGTCGCGCGTCAGGTAGCGTCTCCCTCCCCGCAGTCCTCCTCACAGTCCCCTCAGCAGCCTTCGGCACTTCCGCGACAGGTTACTGTGGACTCGGTTGGTGTTGGAGCTGGAGGTGCAGCCGCTGGCGGTGCTCGGTCTGGGGGTGCTCGGTCGCGGGGTACTGGAGCTGGAGGTGCTGGCGCAGGTGACGCTGGTTCTGGGGGTGCTGGAGTTGGGGGTGCTGGCACTAGCGGTGCTAGTTCTGGGGGTGCTGGAGTTGGAGGTCCTGGCACTGGCGGTACTGGTTCTGGGGGTGCTGAGTCTGAGGAGACTGACGCTGGAGACCCTGGTTCTGCGGAGTCCACCCCGCCCCCCCACCGCCACGACACGCGTCTCCAGGCTGCCCGTCGGCGTGAGCGTGAGGAGCAGGAGCGGTTGGAGAGGGAGCGGCAGGAGCTGCGGGTGCTGGACCTTCTGGAGCAGCAGTGGCAGCAGCAGCAGCAGCAGCAACAGCAGCAGCAGCAGCAGCAGCAGCAGCAGCAGCAGCAGCAGCAGCAGCAGCAGCAGCAGCAGCAGCAGCAGCAGCAGCAGCAGCAGCAACAGCAGCAGCCGCAGCCGCAGCCGCAGCCACAGCCGCAGCAGCAGCAGCAGCAGCCGCAGCCGCAGCCGCAGCGGCCGCAGCCGCCACCGCAGCTTCCTCTAGAGCGGCGGTTGTTCCCACCTGTGAGTGGCCTGCGGGCCCTTGGCCTTTCCTCCTCTCCTCCTGTCCGCTCCCAGTCTCTTCCTGTGTTTGTTCCTCCGTTGCCTCCTCCTGACGACCGTCCGGCGGTCTGGTCTTCTCCTCCTCCTCAGTCTCCTCCTCCCTCTGTCCGTCGCGACTTGATCACTCGTTGTCCTCCGCGTGCTCGTCACTCGTCCCCTGTTACTGACCTCCACACTGCCCTCCTTTGTTCGTCTCGTCGTCGTTCTCCTTCTCCTGCGTCCGTTCTCCCGTCTCCTCCTCCATCCTCTCTACCTGCCCTCCCCACTCCTATCTCTGGCTACTACCGCGCTGTTCGTCCTGTTGGCGCTCGTGTCCTCACCACTCTTGTCACCGACCCTCGTTTCCCTCCGTCGTCTGTCTCGGCTCTCACTGCCGCTGTCGCTGAGTTTGCTGCCGCCAGCCGCCTTGACTACGCCACCCGTGTGGTGCCAGCTCCTCCCTACCGTCCTCTGTCCGTCGGGGGTGGGTTTGCCCTTGGCTGTGACGTCCTAGAGGACAGAGAGTCCGAGCTGGAGTACTGGGCAGCCGCTTCTCCCTCTGTGTGTGCCATGCTGCTCTCCCCTGAGGGAGACCCCGACGCCCTTGACATACCGACTCCTCGCACTTACCGCGAGGCAGTGTCAGGGGCGTGGGCCTCTCAGTGGAAAGCGGCTATGGACTCAGAGTTGGCGTCTTGGAGATCCACAGGCACCTACGTCGACACAGTTCCCCCTCCAAGGGCGAACGTAGTCGATGGCATGTGGCTCTTCAAGGTGAAGCGGCCGCCTGGAGCACCGCCGGTGTTCAAGGCGCGCTACGTGGCTAGGGGTTTCAGTCAGCGTGAGGGAGTTGACTTCTTCCAGACCTTCGCCCCGACCCCGAAGATGACTACTCTTCGGGTGTTACTCCACATAGCAGCGCAGCGAGACTACGAGCTGCACTCCCTCGACTTCTCCACTGCGTTCCTCCAGGGCCGACTGCACGAGGAGATCTGGCTGCGCCGTCCTCCTGGCTTCACTGACACCTTCCCACCTGGGACCCAGTGGAGCCTGAGGCGACCAGTCTACGGTCTCCGCCAGTCGCCCCGTGAGTGGCACGACACTCTTCGCTCCACGCTTCGTGACCTTGGGTTCAGCCCGTCCTCCGCCGACCCGTCGCTGTTTGTTCGAGCGGGTTCTACTCCTTTCTTTATCCTTGTCTACGTCGACGACTTGGTGTTTGCTACAGCAGACAGGGCAGCCCTGGCTCAGGTGAAGTCCGAACTGCAGAAGAGACACAAGTGCACTGACCTGGGTGAGCTGCAGCGCTACCTTGGCCTGCAGATCACCCGGGACAGAGCCGCTCGCACCATCACACTGACGCAGTCACACATGGTGCAGCAGGTCCTTCGACGGTTCCACTTCCAGTTCTCCACCACACAACCCACTCCTCTTGCTGTTGACCACAGACTCACGGGCCCCTTTCCTGACGAGCCCTTTGAGTCCAGTGGACCCTACGCAGAGCTGGTGGGCTGCCTCATGTACCTGATGACTTGTACTCGACCGGACCTCGCCTTTCCACTCAGCATCCTTTCTCGCTTTGTTGCGACTGGGAGACACCGCCCTGTCCACTGGACAGCTGCTGTGAGGGTGGCGAAGTACCTGGCGACTACATCAGGCTTGGGGCTTGTGCTTGGAGGGACTCAGCCAGTGGCGTTGACTGGTCACTGCGACTCTTCCTACGCTGACGACGTGGAGACTCAACGTTCGACTCAGGGTTACTGCTTCAGTCTGGGAGCTGGTGCTGTGTCGTGGAGGTCTACACGGTCGTCGTCTGTGGCTACTTCCAGTGCAGAGGCAGAGATCTACGCTGGTGCCATGGCGGCACAAGAGCTTCGCTGGTTGACCTTCTTGCTCGCTGACCTTGGTGAGCGGCCTCGCTCTGCACCGACCTTGTACGCTGACAACAAGGCCATGATCCTCCTGTGTCGAGAGCCTCGACTGGAGAGCAGAGTGAAGCATATTGGCGTGAGGTACTTCCTCCTGCGAGAGCTGCAGCGACGCGGTCAGGCACGCCTGGACTTTGTGGCCTCAGAGGCCAACACTGCAGACGTCTTCACCAAGGCCTTGGCGCTTGGTGACCACCACAGGTTCTGTGTGCAGTTGGGGCTTGTTGAGGTAGGCCCTCGGTTGGTGTAGTCCTGTTGCTTGCTCTGCTTGTTGTGCTTTGTATTTATATCCTAGTGAACTCTTGAACTGGCCTTGTGGCCGCTTGCTTGCGCTCGGAATTTGTGTGGTGTCCTTGAGATCCACCCTGAGCTTGCCTTGGTTCTTGCTTTGACTGGTCTTGTGACCGTTTGTTCACCTTGCTTGCTTTGATGCCCCTCACTTAGCCTATGGGGGTGTGTCAAATGTTGAACATTGATATGATAGGCTATAGTGAGTTGCACTCTAGGGGGTACAGCTTCTAGGGTTGCTCATTTGTACCCCATTCGTTTCTATTCCAATCATTCCGTTGTTCGCTAACTTTGAGAAGCAGTAGCAGCTCGAGAACGTGAAAACCCTTCGCAACAGTCCAACTGCCTTTTATGTTTTAACACAGCGATCCAAGTGTAACAACAGGCAGCCTTAAACTATTATCAGCCCTTTATGACGTTGTATGTGAGGGTGGACATGCCACCACTAGCCTCCCTTGTCTACCATAGCGGGTGTTGGAAATACAAGTATTCTATAAATGTTAGATTTTAGTTTAGATCATTTTATGAGACTCCCCGCCCCAAAATAATTGCAGATTTATCAAAGCCGAATTATTGCCCAGCTTTCCTTCAGTCGGGGAAACCTCTCTGACACCGTTCTACTCATTTGGTTCTGCAGCAGGGCGGGATATAATGGGGTCCGCTCCACGTCTTCGCCAAAAAATGGCGACGCCGCTGCCATCTCGTTCCTCTGCACACCCAACTGACAATAATCAGTGCGAGAGACGTGCCGTGAGTTCCGCGGTACATATCCTGGAGAAACACAACCCCGAGCCGAGCTACACACATAGCATTTTTCACTCGCCATTTATTGATTTTCTGCCGTACCGTCCACACGTCGTGTCAGGTGGTGTTTTGAACTTGTTATACTGAGCCCAAAGGCCGAGGCCTTGAATAGGTTAGGAATCGAGGTTCTTGTTTGTTCTATCAACAGGGTGGGATTCTGCATCTATACTTGCAACAGCTAAATAAAATAAAAACTAATGTTCCTCGCAACTGCTACAAACAGTTCTTACTAATGCTCATGAAGCAAGTTCATGCTGATTACATTGCGCTGCCTCGCTTCGTTGCGCGCCAGGCAATAACTGTACTTCGTCAATCCAAAGGTGTATTTTGAGGCGCCTCAAAATACGCTTCGTTGCGCCCTAGGCATAACTGTACTTCGTCAAGCCGAAGTGCAATTTTCACTATCAGCAACAGTCCATAGTGTGTGTCCATCCCAACTCCGCGGCGTCGGTTGCTCTTGACTCGGACCTGGATCTCATCGATCGCCGCGAATGGAGGAACAGCCGTCGCATCGTGTCGTCGTGGTCGTCGTCGTCGCAATGCTCGTGCTCGCGATGGCCGCGAGCAGTCTAACGACTACGGCCGCTGTCAATCTCGACCCCTCACAAGGTCGGTGGGTGTCGCTGGCTGTCAATCGCCATCAAGGTGACTTTTGAGTCGACTCAAAAGTCGCAAGGTCGGTGGGTGTCGCTGGCTGTCAGTCGCCATCATCGCTGCATGTTGATGCTGCGAGAGCTTCTTGCTTTCATATCTGCGTCAAGGACTGGCGGTTTCTAAGGTTCGGACCGCTCACATGCTCCCTTGACACCCACCGGTCCCATTCCCCCCTTCCCCACCAACCCCCCTCCTACCCCGCTTCTCCCCATTCCTCCTCCCGCCTCCTCGCTCCCCGTTCCTCCCCTCTCAGCGGACGTACTGGCGGAGTGCCAGCGGCAGTGGAAGGTGAAGCTGACTGGATGGGCCACAGGAGGGGACTGCGCTGCAGTGTATGGCGTGGAGTGCAACGCTGTTGGCATGGTCGTTCACGCGTGCGTGAGAGCGGCGAAAGGGGAAGAGAGGCGGGGGGGGAGGGGGAAGAATGGGGAAGGTGGGGAGGGGAGGGGAGGGGAGGGGAGGAGGGTATGGACTTGGTCGTTAAGGGGAGAAGGAGAGTAGTGGGTGCAATGCGCTGGATTTAGTGGGTGGGTGGGTGGGTGGATGGGAAGGGAGAACGTGAGCAGGTTGGGTGCACAGGGGGGAGAAAATGTGCTCGCTTTTTGACTCCCTGCCCAGCCATCTGATTCTTGCTGCATGCCCCATCACGCCTCGTTACCCGCCTCTCGACTGCTGCCTGCCTGTCCCCATGACCCATGTCACATGCCCCATGAACAACGCCGCATGAACCCTAACCTATCCTATGCACCGCACCGCACCACACCCATGATGTCTCCATGCCACCCGCCCGCCAGGCACGTCTCTGACCAGCCTCTGAACGGCTCCTTAAGCGCCTCAAAAATGACTTTAGAGGCACCTTAAGAATGACTTTTGATGCGCCTTAAAAATGACTTTTGAGGCGCCTTAAAACATGATGTCTCCATGCCACCCACCCACCACCAGGCACGTCTTCGACCAGCCTCTGAACGGCCCCTTACCAGATACCATTGGCAACCTCACCGCCCTCACATATCTGTATGTGCCGTGCCATGACATGAGGTTCCAGTCACTGACGTGACATGCCATTCCATGCCAATCCATTCCATGCCAATCCATGCCACGCCAGTCCATGCCACGCCAATCCATGCCACGCCAATCCATGCCATGCCAATGCATGTCATGCCATTCTATCATGGTCATATGGATGACCAAGCCAGACCTTCCGCGTACCTGCGTCTGCGTCACCTACACATTCCACCCCATTACTACTTATCATGGGTCGTGTTTTGAGTCGAATCAAAACAAGTCTGCGTCACCTACACATTCCACTCCATCACTACTTATCATGGCCTCCCCTCCCCTCCTCCCCCCCCTCTACACCATCCGCGCCCCCAGCCGTCTCGCAAACGATAGCCTCACTGGCTCCATTCCAGAGTCCTTCTCTCGCCTAGTCCTCTTGGAGCGCCTGTGAGTGCGATGACAGGCAGGTCATGGCATGCCACGGTGTTGGCAGGACATGGTAGAGTGAATCGTGCAGCTTCCTTTTTTTCAATCTGGTGAATAGCACACAGTACCTCGCTCTCTATATCTCTGATTCCCGCCTCTTCTCTCAGATGCTCTGTTGTGCTTCCCATGCCGTGCAAGCTGTTGTTTCTGCGCTCCCGCCTCTTCTCTCACATGTGTGCGCTCGGTCGCCTTGGCATGCTGTGCTGAGCGTGGCCTATTGAGTGGTGAGACTGTTGCCTCTTGCCCTCGTGACTGCTGCTTGTTGGGGCAGGGATCTGAGCTACAACCATAAAATTACAGGGTCTATCCCCCAGGTTCTTTCAAGCCTCATCAATCTCAATACATTGTGCGCCACTCCTCGCCCTTGCTTCTCATTCTCAGTGCATCGCAATGAAAGCAGCTTTCTGTTCATCACTAGAGGTTGATCGCTTCGGGTCTCAGAAGACTTTAGCCACATTGTGCATGTGGGCATGCACATTGCACACACAACGGTTTGATAGCATGCTTGCACTTCCCTGAATATGTTTCTGTGTGCGAATTTTGTGCCTGTCATGTGCATGCGTGCTTGTTGAGAAACTGACGTATGTGTGTCTTGCGGGGATGGAAGGGGATGGAGGGTAAAGGGGTGGCGTTGAGTGGGGGGTAAGCCATGTTCGTGCGTGCGTGCGTGCATGTGTGCTTGTCTGTGTACTTGTATGAGTGCATGTACATCTGCGTGTGCGTGTGTGTGTGTGTGTGTGTGTGTGTGTGTGTGTGAGTGCGTGTGTCTGTGTAAGTGAGTGTGTGTGTGTGTAAGGAAGTGTGTGTGCGTGTGTGTGTGTTTGTGCATGTGCGTGTGTGTGTGATGTATGTGTGTAAGCGTGTGTGTGTAAGCGAGTGTGTGTGTGTGTGTGTGTGTGTGTGTGTGTGTGTGTGTGTGTGTGTGTGTGTGTGTGTGTGTGTGTGTGTGCATGCAGGGTCTCAGCTACATGAATCTAACAGGGCCTTGCAGCATGGGTATCAGGTAACTTTTGAGTCGACTCAAAAGTCACCTGTGTGTGTGTGTGTGTGTGTGTGTGTGTGTGTGTGTGTGTGTGTGTGTGTGTGTGTGTGTGTGTGTGTGTGTGTGTGTGTGTGTGTGTGTGTGTGTGTGTGTGTGTGTGTGTGTGCATGCAGGGGTCTCACTACATGGATCTAACAGGGTCTTTTCCAGCATGGGTATCTGGTAACACACGACTAGACTACATGTGCGCTCTCTTCCTTCTCTTCCCCTTCCACGCCTGCTCGTTCCCCCATCCCCTTGCACCCCTGCTCATCTCCTTTCACCCCTTCTCATCCCCTTGTATCTGTGGTTCCACTTGGCGTCCCAACCCTTGGCTGCAAGAATGTGTCCATGCAAGAATGTGGCCATGCAAGAATGTGGCCATGCAAGAATGTGGCCATGCAAGCATGTGGCCATGCAAGAATGTGGCCATGCAAGCATGTGGCCATGCAAGCATGTGGCCATGCAAGCATGTGGCCATGCAAGCGCACACTCACAAACATTGACACACACGCACATGATCTGAATCTGAACACCCCCCCTCACACACACGCTCTTATGCATTCACACACACACACACACACCCACACGCACACGCACACGAACACGCACACGCACCCGCACCCGCACCCGCACCCGCACCCGCACCCGCACCCGCACCCGCACAGGCACAGGCACAGGCACAGGCACAGGCACAGGCACAGGCACAGGCACAGGCACAGGCACAGGCACAGGCACATACACAAACACACACACACACCCACACCTACACACACACACACACACACACACACACCCACACACCCACACCCACACCCACACACACACACACCCATCCACACCCACACACACCCACCCACACACACACACACATGCTACTTCCTCTGCACTCCAGCATACACACACCACAACCTTTTCCATTTGTCTTGTCAAGTCATCTGTGGAACGAGCTCACCATGGCCATGTGCGTGCCAGGGGCGAGTCTCAAGTCAAGATATTGAATGTGATGATGAGACGTTGTGACTTTTGAGTCGACTCAAAAGTTGCCAGGGGCGAGTCTCAAGTCAAGATATTGCATATGATGAGACGACTTTTGAGTCCACTCAAACTAAAAAATCGTCTCACGACGGCCATGTGTGTGCCAGGGGAGAGTCTCAAGTCAAGCTACTGCTTGCATGTATCGCGTCTCTGCTCTCCTGCCTGCCTGCCTGCCTGCCTGCATGCCTGCCTGCCTGCCTGCCTGCCTGCCTGCATGTACCACCCCTGTGCTGCCCATGCCTGGTGCTCTGCAGAAGCCTCGTGGGCAATCAGCTGACTGGATCCATACCGGAATCACTTGGCAGCGCCATCAACCTCTACAGCTTGTAAACTCCCTCCCTCTACCATGCTCTGCCTATGCCTTTTTTCGCATCCGCAAGAAACTTGAAACCTTCCCCATGCACGTGTTGCATTGCACCCATCCCCGTGGCACATTTTCTGTCCCCCGTACGCCTCCGCGCTTTCCTCACTGTGTACCATTCACGCACCCATGCGCACACAGTTCAGTGGCGCTTCTTTTGAGTCGACTCAAAAGTCACCTCGTTACAATGACACATTACACATACTCTACCATTCACCCACCCTTGCGCACACAGGTCGGTGTGGCAGAACCAGTTCAGTGGCACTATCCCTGACTCCATTGGGAGCCTCACCAAGCTACAAGTTTTGTGAGCATAGCTCAGTGTTTACCACAAGTCGTCGTTCAACATGCGAAGCCGTCTTTTCCCTCTTTATGCGAAGAATTGTACTCTTTTGCTGCTTTTTGCCATTTGGCTGGATGGGCTAGGCTGTGTGGTGTGGTGTTGTAACGTGGTGTAATAAAGTGCAATGTGGTGCAATGTGTTGTAATGTGGTGCAATGTGTTCTTATATGTTGGCTCGCTGTGTTGCAGGGCACTATTCAGCAACCTGTTCACAGGCAACTTTTGAGTCGATGCAAAAGTCACCTCTTGTTTTGAGACGTCTCAAAACAACACTTTTGAGACGTCTCAAAAACTCAAAAGTCGGCTCTTTTCAGCAACCTGTTCACAGGCAGCATTCCCCAAGGCATTGGCAATATTTGGAACCAATTTTTGAGGCGCCTTCAAAATGTTCTTATACGTTGGCTCACTGTGTTGCAGGTCACTATTCAGCAACCTGTTCACAGGCAGCATTCCCCAAGGCATCGGCAATATGGGGAAAATCACGTCACTGTGAGCGATGCTGGAGAGTACATGGTCTGAATTCGCCAGTAGCAAGCTATCGCAATCATGCCACATTCCCCATGCCACATTCCCCATGCCACATTCCCCATGCCACCTTCCCCATGCCACATTCCCCATGCCACCTTCCCCATGCCACGTTTCCCATGCCATGCTACCGCATCTCAGCAACTTGGCCAAAAACGCCTTGACTGGCCCCATCCCCGACAGCCTTTCCCGCCTCTCCCAGTTGCAAAGCCTGTGAGTCCCAATGCCACTACCCACCAAAGGGCATCAAAGGGCAGGTGCATGCATGCATGGGAGGATGTTTTGAGTTGACTCAAAACAGATGCATGCATGGGAGGATGTTTTGTGTTGATTCTGTGTTGCCCTGTGGCATGCTCGGTTGTGCTGTCACTGCAACAACCACTGGAACCGTGCAAATTGCTTGCAAGTTGACTCTGAACCTCACCAAGCAAGTTCACAGTCTTCTGCTTCACAGTCTTCTGCTTCACAGTCTTCTGCTTCACAGTCTTCTGAGTCCGTCTTCTGCTTCACTTGCATGCATGCGTGCTTGCTGAGTCTGTCTTCTGCTTCAGTTCTGTTGTGCAGCAAGTATGTCCCAGAGGGTGGATTCTCACCTTCAGTCTTAGAGGTCGTGGGTTCAATTCTCAGCAGCTGCACTTTCCATTCTCCTTATGCCCCACATTACATGTCCACACTCCACCACACTCCACCACAGTGAAGTGTGGTCACAGTTGGCATTGCCACCTGTCCACTCATCCCACACTCACCTTGCTGGCCTCTATGGTGTGCCATATGCTGTTATGTGGGCTGTTGTTCCAGCCTGGCCCACATGTGCAACATGTGGCCTCACTTGCTAGCTTGGCAAGGTTGGCTAGCCTTGCCCTCAGCATTGAGGTGCTGCAGCTAGCCTCAAGAGTTCAACCACATATATGTGGCTTCCCATTTCACTAGAAATCATCCTTGGACAAAGACCTTGCTCTAGTCTTTAAGACTTATACCATTTTCTTGCTAAGGATATTTCTTCTTCCTATCGTGCCATAAGTTCACCGATCCATTTTCTTCATGCTATCAGAGCTAGGCTTCTAGCTTTGTGAACGTCGCACACTTGATGGCTCAAGTTGAGACGCCTCTCGGTCGGCACACCCTTCCTATCTTGGAACCGGATGGTTCCAACTTCATTCCATGGAAGAAAAAGATCTGTTACATCTTCAATGTCCTTGGGCTGATCTCCCTTCTTGGAGATCCCAAGGTTGCTGCCCGCCCTTCCATTTCCTCTTCCACAACCAGCAGTGGAGATGCTACTGAAGGCAACAATGGTGCAGCCCCTAAAACAGCCCATTCGATTGCGTCGCTGCCGGATGAAGAAAAAGAGGAGCATGCGTACTATCTTCTCATGTCAGCCGTCCATCCTCAGCTCTCGCTAACACTTGCTCAAGCCAACACGACGAAGGATATGTGGGGATGCATCATGGCGCGGTTTGACTGCATGGGTAACCATGCACAAGTAGCTCTCCTCCGAGATCTCATCACTACACGGATGGACCCAACAATGAGTCTTCGCTCCTACTTCGATCGAGTTGGAAATCTCACGCACCAACTCAAATCTGCCGGCTTCGAGCTACCATCTTGGGTGGTGGTAATCTCCATCATTCTCAATTTGCCGGACTCCTTCAAGACTCTCACAGAAACTATTTGCACCGTGAAAGACATCAAGTCTATGACGGTTGAATACCTGCAGTCACGACTACTCGATGCCGATTGGGAGCGGTCACAATCTGGTACAAGCCGCAACATGGAAGGTGCATACAACCTCCATTCCCAGCCCTCCCACCCTATTCGCTCCGGTTCCCGCCAGTCCCCTACTTGCCGCTACTGCAAGAAAACCGGCCACACCATTGACGAATGCTTCAAGTTGAAGAAGAAGAAAGAGCTCGAAGAAAGCTCTCGACGGGAGAAATCTGTCATCCAGCCTTCGGTGCATGTGTCAACAAGCTCCTCCGCCGACATCCCTTCGATCTCCACAACACCTACTGCCCCATCAGCCCCTCAGTCCGTACCTGATTCCCGGTACGTTGACATAGCTTTCAGCACCAGCCACCGCCCCATCCTCCCCACCTGGACTCCTCTCGTCGCTGCTTTCTTCATCTTCACCATCCTCCTCCTCCTCCTCCTCTTCCCTTATGGTGCTCCCTACGCATCGGCACTCACAGCCTCTTCCTCAAACATGATCCGGACTTCTTCCTGGCTGGTGGACAGCGGCGCATCTTCCCATATATGCTCCGATCGCTCGTTGTTTTCATCTCTCCAGCAGCCAACTGATGATATTATCGTTCGTTTTGGTGGTGGAGAAACTTACAAAGTCTTGGGAGTCGGCACGGTGGTGGCTACTCTTCGCTCACAACCCTCGGAGACCACCATCCAGCTAGACAACGTTCTGTTTCTCCCTTCATCGGTTCACAACCTCCTCTCGGTTCGTGCACTTGGAGCTGCCGGCATTGCCGTTTCCTTCCCCACTGCAGGGCGGGTTGAGCTCAAAACTGATGCGGCTCATATCGGCGAGGGCTTTACCTGCAACAATCTGTTTTATCTTCAGCTGCATCATGGGAGCAGTGCCGCCCCCCCCATCAACCCCACGGCATGTCCAGTCTCCACCACCACCTCCTCATACCTTTGGCATCGCCGTTTCGGGCATCTTAACATGCGGGACCTGTCAACACTTCATAGGCAGCAGCTGGTCACCGGTGTTAACCTCTCCTCCTCCTCGATTCCCCAATGCATCTCGTGCTATCGTGGGAAACAAACGCGTCAACCATTTGGCGTATCCCATTCTCGCACCACAGCACCGCTCCAACTCATTCATTCGGATATTGCTGGACCATTTTCATATGGAACTACCATTGGAGGCGCTCGCTACCTTCTCACCTTCATCGACGACTATTCCCGCCACATTACCGTGTATCTCCTACGCCATCGTTCAGAGGCATTTTCATGCTTCAAAGATTACGTCACTCGGGTGCACAATATGCATTCCCCAAGGACCATCAAAGCGTTTCGCTCCGATGGTGCCTTGGAGTTCAATTCCGACGCCTTCACTTCATTCCTTAAAGCTCATGGCATCGCTCGACACCGTTCTACGCCGTACACACCCGAGCAAAATGGAGTTGCTGAACGCGCCAATCGGACTATACTTGAGATGGTCCGTTCCATGCTTCATGACGCACACATGGACAAAGGATGGTGGGGTGAAGCCGCTCTCACTGCTGCCTATCTCCGAAATCATGCCATTAGTCGGGGTGGTTCAACTTCTAAGACTCCCATAGAACTATGGACCGGTGCACGTCCGGACGTATCACACCTCCGCATCTTCGGTTCACCCGTTTCAGTCCTCATTCCTCCGCAACGGCGCTCTAAGCTCGACGACCGAAGCACGGCCGGCATCATGGTTGGGTATGGTCATCTTGACGGCACCAAGGCTTATCGCATCTATATCCCATCTCAGCACCGTGTCACACTTTCTCGTGATGTCATCTAGACATGAGCAAAAGGGCGAACACCTGTTCGGTTCGCCTCGAACACGTTCGAGGCGAACCGAACAGGTTTGTTTTTTTTGCTTAAATTGTTCGCCGAACAGTGTTCGATGTTCGCCCGAACACGTTCGTGTTCGGGCCGCTGCTGCAATTTGCCCCGCGACGAACACGAACGTGTTCGATGTTCGCCCGAACATGCCTTCACAGGCGAACGGCGAACACGTGTTTTTGCTTAAAGTGTTCGCCGAACCGAACAGTGTTCGGTTCGGCAAACGGATGTGTTCGTCTAGGGGCGAACACGAACATGTTCGTGTTCGCCCCTTGCTCATCCCTAATGTCATCTTCATGGAGCACTCTTCGCCACCTTCCGATGACCCTCGAGAACCTCCATCGTCATCTCCACCACCCATATCATCATCTCCGCCTCCTCCCCCACCCCCTTCCCTCTCAGCCCCAACCTCCCCTCCCTCTCCTTCACCACCCATGCCCTCTTCCACCACCCTCCTCCCACCATCTCCAACTCTGCCCGCACCAGCCACCTCTTCTCCTCCTCCTTTGTTTTCCAACCTTCCTCTGCCCTCGACGCCGCAAGACTTCCGCCTTCCATCCCTCTCCTCTCCTTCTTCAGCTCGTCCTCCTCCTTGCACCTCTAGTTCCTCACCACCATCCCCTTCAGCTCCTTCCACTCTTTCACTTTTCTCACTGCTCAAGGTCTTACCGTCTCCTTCTGAACCCATTGACTTCACCCTTCCTCCTCTTTCCAAGACATCCGCTAATGCCGCCCTTCATCATCATTACGAACCTCAAACCATTCATGAGGCCCGCACTGGCCCTGATGCTGCTGAATGGATCAAGGCTGCTGATGCGGAACTCGCTGCCCTGCACGCTAATGACACTTCTCTTCCTGCCCCCAATTCTCTCCTTGCACTTCCCTTCCTTCCATGGGCCTTCGTGTGGTCGACGCGTGCGCCTACGTTGCACCTGCCAATCCCCTGTTCCCTCGCACCAAACGACATCAGGATAACGCCATTCTATGAGTAAGTGATCCATGTGTCAAGTGCAAGCCGATTCCATGCAAATGGATTTTCAAGGTCAAGGAGCATGCTGATGGTTCTATCGAACGTCGCAAGGCCCGCCTTGTTGTCAAAGGTTTCAAACAACGCGACGGTGTTGATTTCCATGACACCTTTGCTCCTACCGTCCGCTTCGCCACCCTCCGCCTCTTCCTCACCATTGCTGCCGCTTTCGACCTAGAAGTCCATCAGCTGGACATTTCCAACGCCTTCCTCAACAGCACTCTTGATGAAATTCTCTACATGATGCAGCCTCCCGGTTATGAACTTCCGGCGGTCCATGGTGTCGAGCAAGTTTGTCTCTTGCACAAACCGTTGTACGGGTTGAAGCAAGCGCCGCGGTGCTGGTACCGCAAACTTCGTGAAGAGCTTGCTGCCTTTCGCCTTTTTGCTGCCCGTGCGGACCCCGGCCTCTTCATTGCTCCTCCACAATCTCCTTATCGGCCTACAGCTGCATCCTTCTTCATGCTTCTCGTCTATGTTGACGACCTCATCATTCTTTCCTCCTCCTCTTCTCTTCTTTCCTCCTTCAAGCGTGCCCTTTCATCTCGCTTCAAGCTTCGTGACCTCGGTCCTCTTTCCTACTACCTTGGATTTCACATCACTCGTGATCGGACCTCCCGCACTCTCCACCTTCATCAATCCAAATTCATCACCTCCATCTTAGACACCTACTCGTTCACTCCACTTAACCCTGCTGCCACCCCCATGGACACCAAGTTTCAGCTGCCCGTGAATTCCTCCCCACACTCCTCCTCCTTTCCTTACACCTCGTTTGTCGGATCCATCATGTATGCCATGGTGGGTTCCCGTCCCGACCTCGCATATAGCGCTGGAGTTCTTGCTCGTCACCTTCATGATTGGTCTACTCCACACGTCTCGGCTGCCAAACGCGTTGCTCGCTACTTGAAAGGGACTACCTCGCTTGGGCTTCTCCTTGGCGGCATTCCCAACGCCCTTGAACTTCATGGGTGGTGTGACGCCTCTTGGGGACCGGAGGGAGAGCTCCGACGCTCCGTTACGTGCTACTTGTTCTTCCTCGGTCCGTCACTCATCTCTTGGCAGTCCAAACGTCAAGCTGTCGTCGCTACCTCTTCCTGTGAAGCTGAATATTATTCTCTGGGCGCCACGGTGCATGAGGCATTATGGCTTCGATCCCTCCTTACCGCACTTGGACTTCCCCCAACCGGCTCCACCCGCATCTCGCGCTCACATGTCTTTGTGACAACAATAGTGCCATCATTCTGGCCAAGGACGACGGCGTCTTTCATCCCAAGGCCAAGCACATCGACATCAAGCACCATTTCATTCGTGATCATGTTGCTGACCACTCCGTTACCCTTCTCTATGTTCCTACTCAAGACAACCTCGCTGACATTGGCACCAAGCCTTTGCCCCGTGACCCTTTTCTTCGCATCCGTGGTCTTCTCGGTCTCACCCATGTCTCCGCTTGAAGGACCCTACCCCGGGGACATCCTTGAGGGGGGGTGTTGTGCAGCAAGTATGTCCCAGAGGGTGGATTCTCACCTTCAGTCTTAGAGGTCGTGGGTTCAATTCTCAGCAGCTGCACTTTCCATTCTCCTTATGCCCCACATTACATGTCCACACTCCACCACACTCCACCACAGTGAAGTGTGGTCACAGTTGGCATTGCCACCTGTCCACTCATCCCACACTCACCTTGCTGGCCTCTATGGTGTGCCATATGCTGTTATGTGTGCTGTTGTTCCAGCCTGGCCCACATGTGCAACATGTGGCCTCACTTGCTAGCTTGGCAAGGTTGGCTAGCCTTGCCCTCAGCATTGAGGTGCTGCAGCTAGCCTCAAGAGTTCAACCACATATATGTGGCTTCCCATTTCACTAGAAATCATCCTTGGACAAAGACCTTGCTCTAGTTTTTAAGACTTATACCATTTTCTTGCTAAGGATATTTCTTCTTCCTATCGTGCCATAAGTTCACCGATCCATTTTCTTCAAGTTCCATGCATGCGTGCTTGCTGAGTCCGTCTTCTGACACGTCTCAAAAGCTATGTGCGTTCTTTCCTCCAAAACGCATTCTGCGTGCTTCCTTGTCTTTTCCCTTCCCATGCCATTCCGCGCCACTGCACGGTCTAACAGCTATCTTGACAGCAACAATTTGAGCGGATCGCTGCCCTCCTGGATCACACAATTGGCCTCTCTCAAAGACATGTGAGTGCTTTTCTTTCTCTCAAAGACATGTGAGTGCTCTTCTTTCTCTCAAAGACATGTGAGTGCTTTTCTTTCTCTCAAAGACATGTGAGTGCTCTTCTTTCTCTCAAAGACATGTGAGTGCTCTTCTTTCTCTCAAAGACATGTGAGTTCTCTTCTTTCTCTCAAAGACATGTGAGCGTTTTTCTTTCTCTCAAAGACATGTGAGTGCGTTTCTTTCTCTCAAAGACATGTGAGTGCTTTTCTTTCTCTCAAAGACATGTGAGTGCTTTTCTTTCTCTCAAAGACATGTGAGCGCTTTTCTTTCTCTCAAAGACATGTGAGTGCTTTTCTTTCTCTCAAAGACATGTGAGTGCTCTTCTTTCTCTCAAAGACATGTGAGTGCTCTTCTTTCTCTCAAAGACATGTATGTGAGTGTTTTTCTTTCTCTCAAAGACATGTGAGTGCTCTTCTTTCTCTCAAAGACATGTGAGTGCTCTTCTTTCTCTCAAAGACATGTGAGTGCTTTTCTTTCTCTCAAAGACATGTGAGTGCTTTTCTTTCTCTCAAAGACATGTGAGTGCTTTTCTTTCTCTCAAAGACATGTGAGCGCTTTTCTTTCTCTCAAAGACATGTGAGTGCTTTTCTTTCTCTCAAAGACATGTGAGTGCTCTTCTTTCTCTCAAAGACATGTGAGTGCTCTTCTTTCTCTCAAAGACATGTATGTGAGTGCTTTTCTTTCTATCAAAGACATGTGAGTGCTCTTCTTTCTCTCAAAGACATGTGAGTGCTCTTCTTTCTCTCAAAGTCATGTGAGCGCTTTTCTTTCTCTCAAAGACATGTGAGTGCTTTTCTTTCTCTCAAAGACATGTGAGCGCTTTTCTTTCTCTCAAAGACATGTGAGTGCTTTTCTTTCTCTCAAAGACATGTGAGTGCTTTTCTTTCTCTCAAAGACATGTGAGCGCTTTTCTTTCTCTCAAAGACATGTGAGTGCTTTTCTTTCTCTCAAAGACATGTGAGTGCTCTTCTTTCTCTCAAAGACATGTGAGTGCTCTTCTTTCTCTCAAAGACATGTATGTGAGTGCTTTTCTTTCTATCAAAGACATGTGAGTGCTCTTCTTTCTCTCAAAGACATGTGAGTGCTCTTCTTTCTCTCAAAGTCATGTGAGCGCTTTTCTTTCTCTCAAAGACATGTGAGTGCTTTTCTTTCTCTCAAAGACATGTGAGCGCTTTTCTTTCTCTCAAAGACATGTGAGTGCTTTTCTTTCTCTCAAAGACATGTGAGTGCTTTTCTTTCTCTCAAAGACATGTGAGTGCTCTTCTTTCTCTCAAAGACATGTGAGTGCTCTTCTTTCTCTCAAAGACATGTGAGTGCTCTTCTTTCTCTCAAAGACATGTGAGTGCTTTTCTTTCTCTCAAAGACATGTGAGTGCTTTTCTTTCTCTCAAAGACATGTGAGTGCTTTTCTTTCTCTCAAAGACATGTGAGTGCTCTTCTTTCTCTCAAAGACATGTGAGTGCTCTTCTTTCTCTCAAAGACATGTGAGTGCTCTTCTTTCTCTCAAAGACATGTGAGTGCTTTTCTTTCTCTCAAAGACATGTGAGTGCTTTTCTTTCTCTCAAAGACATGTGAGTGCTCTTCTTTCTCTCAAAGACATGTGAGTGCTCTTCTTTCTCTCAAAGACATGTGAGTGCTTTTCTTTCTCTCAAAGACATGTGAGCGCTTTTCTTTCTCTCAAAGACATGTGAGTGCTTTTCTTTCTCTCAAAGACATGTGAGTGCTCTTCTTTCTCTCAAAGACATGTGAGTGCTCTTCTTTCTCTCAAAGACATGTATGTGAGTGCTTTTCTTTCTATCAAAGACATGTGAGTGCTCTTCTTTCTCTCAAAGACATGTGAGTGCTCTTCTTTCTCTCAAAGTCATGTGAGCGCTTTTCTTTCTCTCAAAGACATGTGAGCGCTTTTCTTTCTCTCAAAGACATGTGAGCGCTTTTCTTTCTCTCAAAGACATGTGAGTGCTTTTCTTTCTCTCAAAGACATGTGAGTGCTTTTCTTTCTCTCAAAGACATGTGAGTGCTCTTCTTTCTCTCAAAGACATGTGAGTGCTCTTCTTTCTCTCAAAGACATGTGAGTGCTCTTCTTTCTCTCAAAGACATGTGAGTGCTTTTCTTTCTCTCAAAGACATGTGAGTGCCTTTCTTTCTCTCAAAGACATGTGAGTGCTTTTCTTTCTCTCAAAGACATGTGAGTGCTCTTCTTTCTCTCAAAGACATGTGAGTGCTCTTCTTTCTCTCAAAGACATGTGAGTGCTCTTCTTTCTCTCAAAGACATGTGAGTGCTTTTCTTTCTCTCAAAGACATGTGAGTGCTTTTCTTTCTCTCAAAGACATGTGAGTGCTCTTCTTTCTCTCAAAGACATGTGAGTGCTCTTCTTTCTCTCAAAGACATGTGAGTGCTCTTCTTTCTCTCAAAGACATGTGAGTGCTCTTCTTTCTCTCAAAGTCATGTGAGCGCTTTTCTTTCTCTCAAAGACATGTGAGTGCTCTTCTTTCTCTCAATGACATGCGAGTGCTTTTCTTTCTCTCAAAGACATGTGAGTGCTTTTCTTTCTCTCAAAGACATGTGAGCGCTTTTCTTTCTCTCAAAGACATGTGAGTGCTTTTCTTTCTCTCAAAGACATGTGAGTGCTCTTCTTTCTCTCAAAGACATGTGAGTGCTTTTCTTTCTCTCGAAGACATGTGAGTGCTCTTCTTTCTCTCAAAGACATGTGAGTGCTCTTCTTTCTCTCAAAGACATGTGAGTGCTCTTCTTTCTCTCAAAGACATGTGAGTGCTTTTCTTTCTCTCAAAGACATGTGAGTGCGTTTCTTTCTCTCAAAGACATGTGAGTGCTTTTCTTTCTCTCAAAGACATGTGAGCGCTTTTCTTTCCCCTCTACCTCAGCTGTGAGCTCAACCGGAACACCGAGGAACTCACAGCTGTGAGTTCCACTACTTTCTTTCTCCTTGGTGCTTCAGGGGGAACAAGCTGCAACCTACATGTTGTTGTAGCAGCAGGTTGTGCGTGCCATCACCCATGGCTGTGATTACTCCCCTTTGTTCATCGCACCTCACAATTCACATGATTGTTTGTCGCACCACCACCATCACCGTCGGCGTTGTCATTGTCTTGTTGTCGCTGCCACTGGCCCCACAGGTCGTCGTTACTCATTACGGAAGGGCAGCAGTACTAGAGAATAGCTTTAGCAAGTAAGAAAGAGAGTAAGAATTTCCCTAGCTAAGAGAATTCTTATCGCAATTAACCGTATTCAGTCTAAGAGAACAGGTCGCAAGCATGTTTCGGCAAGGCGGGGCGGGGAAAACCTGTCAAGCCTTCATCGGTGCTTCTGAACGTTGCCATTGTCTTGTCGTCGCTGCCAGTGGCCCCACGACCGCCCACTCCGCCACTGCCACCTTCCTCATCACCTTCATCATCACCTTCCTCATCACCTTCCTATCACCTTCCTCATCACCTTCCTCATCACCTTCCTCATCACCTTCCTTATCACCTTCCTCATCACCTTCCTCATCACCTTCCTCATCGCCTTCCTCATTGTCACCTTCATTGTCTCATCTGACGTGCAGCAACATGGGTCACAACACATTCTCCGGGTCCCTGCCGGCCGGCCTTGGTGGAATGGACCAACTCACTTCCCTGTGAGCGCTCTCTTGCGTTGTGTAGTGCAGATTAAGGTTAATGTGCTGTGCTGTTGCTCCCTGCTATGCCTGAATCCGCGTTCATCTGCCTTTCTCTACTCACATTCACACACACACACACGCACGCACGCACGCACGCACGCACGCACGCACGCATGCACGCACACACACACACAAACCCTCTCATGCACCTCATTTCATAACCTCATTCCCCCGCTCGCACCACACTCTCTCAAACCCCTTCCTCCAACTGCCCGCCCCTTCTGAATGCCCCAACGAGCAGCGATGTGTCGGGCACGTCGCTCGAATGCCCTCCGTTTTGAGGCGCCGCCTCAAAAGTCAACCCATACCTTCCAACCGCCCCCCTTTTCCACTCTGTCCTCTGAGCAGCGATGTGTCAAGCACGTGAAAGAAGAGTGTTTTGAGGCGTCTCGAAAACACTCTTCTTTCAAAAGTCAACTCCTTCCTTCCAACCGCCCCCCCTTTCCACTCTGTCCTCTGAGCAGCGATGTGTCAGGCACATCGCTCGAATGCCCTCCTGACGCCTCCAGCTGCGTGGTCTCCCAGTCGCCCGACACTCCCTTCTGCCGCCAGTGCCCCTCCTTCTGCTCCACCTGCTCTACTGGAGGTGGGCCGTGCAGGTCAATGGCAGTCAGTGCAGGTCGTTGGCAGTCAGTGCAGGTCAATGGGAGTCAGTGCAGGTCGTTGGCAGTCAGTGCAGGTCACTGGCAGTCGATGCATGCAGCTGTGATGTGAACCATATCGTGTGGCACTCTGTATGCCAGCTTTTTGAGGTGCCTCAAAAATCACCTCAAAAAAATCGAGGCGCCTCAAAAATCACCTAAAAAAAAAAGAGGCGCCTCAAAAATCACCTCAAAAAAATTGAGGCGCCTCAAAAATATCGTGTGGCACTCTGTATGCGAGCTCTGCTGTGACTACCTTCTTTATCACTGCAAGCACAGCCGACTTATCAAGGGTACGAAACATGTTTTGCTGTTCTGAGTTTGTACGTTCGCAGTTTACTCAATTTCAAAGGGTTACATTTTTTTTTTTTCTAGAGAGACTACCCTTCCTACTGTTGCTCTTCTTCATGACAAGCACTATATCGTATGCCAGCTCTGCTGCTATTTTCCAACATAGCTCTGCTGTGGCTACCTTGTTTTTTATTACTGCAAGTGCAGCTGACTTATCATGGTCCTGTGTATGTATGCACATCCATGTTTCTGTGTGGGCTGTGCAAATGTGTATGCATGCGTGTGTGCGTGTGCGTGCGTGTGTGTGTGTGTGCGTGTGCGTGCGTGTGTGTGTGTGTGTGCGTGTGTGTGTGTGTGTGCGTGTGTGTGTGTGTGTGTGCGTGTGTGTGTGTGTGTGTGTGTGTGTGCGTGTGTGTGCACACGGTGTGCACAGACCAGGCCAGTTTATCCAAAGCAGCTATCATCGGCATTGTAGTGGCAGCCATCCTCCTGCTGCTGCTGCTTCTGGCTGTGGCTTGGTGGACTCTCATACGCAGACCTCGCAGCAAGCCTGTTCAAGGTCTGTTTTTTGAGACGGTCTGTTCCTGTTTCTCCTCGGACCCCTCTGCTTTGTCAAGATTCATGTCGGGAGTAGCATAGCAGCAAACCTGTAGATCACGCTGAAGCAAAAGGATCAAGATTGTAAAACTTGTTCCCAGAAATTCAAGATCTCAAGCCTGTTCAAGGTCTATTTCTCCTCAGACGCCTCTGCTGTGTCCGTCGAGCAGAGCAGTTCAAGTTCTTTCCTCTGTACAGATGAGCAGGGGGGTACGAGGGGGGTGGGATATATATTGAGTCCACCTCATGGTGCAACCCCCATTGTATTCTGATGGTAGCTTTCTTTCGTGCAACTCTCTCTCAAGCGGTCCTTTGTATTCTCTCTCCCTCGCATCTACTTTTCTGACCTTACAACTTTCCAAGCAGGAGCTCGAGCATGTGTTTTTACTGAGAGACCACTTCCCTTTCATCGCAATTTAACAGTCACCTTTCAAAAGGGCCAACTTGTCTCTCCTGCTCGTTAGCTCACATGGGACTTCACTCATCTCTCTTTTCACCTCCCCATCTCCCTCACATCACACCCTCCGATAGATCCCCACTTGGGAGACATGGCTTTGCTTGGCAGCAGCTTAGTTTAGTTAAGAAATGTTGTTTGTAGTAGGCTTGCTTAGAAAAAACCTTTGCAACTCTCATTTCACCTCCCCATCTCCCTCACATCGCTCCCTCCCTCCCTCCCTCCCTCCCTCCCTCCCTCCCTCCCTCCCTCCCTCCCTCCCTCCCTCCCTCCCTCCCTCCATCCCTCGACGGCTGTCACCATTGAGCCGCTGCAACCCCAGCTACCCCAGGTGCGGGCAGGACCACAACCATGACATTCCAGCAGCTTCCTCGCTCCCACCCTCCCAACCTCCCTCCCTCCCTTCCCCCCTCCCTCCCCCCCTGCCTCCCTCCCTCCCTCCCTCCCTCCCTTCCCCCCTCTTTCCCTCCCTCCCTCCCTTCCCCCCTCCCTCCCTCCCTCCCCCCTTCCCACCCTCCCTCCCTCAACGGATCTCACCATTGGTGCAGCCCCAGCTACCCCAGGTGGGGTAGGCACCACAACTGCGGCATGCCAGCAGCTTCCTCTCGACGTGGTCATGCGTGCCACTAGCGATTGGGCCACGGCCAACCTGCTGGGGTCAGGGGGCTACGGCGACATGTACAAAGGGGTGTCGCCCCTCGATGGCACCACGCTCTGGGCTGTGAAGCGCGCCAAAATTATCACCAACGACTTTCACAAGGAGGTGGGTGGGCGTGGGAGAGCGCAGGGTCGACTGAGGATTTTGACGAGTGAAGTGGCGAGAGAGGTGGGGGTGGGTAGTAGGGAAGAACACAAGGAAGGGATGGACGAGCGGAGTCTGCTTGTTTCTTTTTTTTTTCCATGAAAGGTGCGCACTTATGTTGTTTTTTCTAGACTGCAGCTCGCCTAAACAAAGCTTCTATGGCTGCACTTTTGTTGTTTTTTTTGCCAAGTGAAAAATATAACAAGGTCCAAAACACAAGAATCGAATTGAAAACGGACTCTATTTCATGGAGATGAAAAATAAGCATGGTGTGATGAGCTGTGCCCTCCCTGCCCCCCTGCAGGTCGCTCAGATGTCCACCAAGCACCACCCCAACCTGGTGCGGCTGCTGGGGTTCGCAGTGGGGGGGGACGTGCACACGCGGGTGGAGAACGTGCTTGTTTACGAGTTCATCCCCAATGGGGACCTCGAGAGGTGGATGGGCCAAGGTACACACACACAGCAGCAGCAGCAGCAGCAGCAGCAGCAGCAGCAGCAGCAGCAGCAGCAGCAGCAGCAGCAGCAGCAGCAGCAATACCGCCAAGGCCAAGGGCATCAACATCAGTGTTGTTGCATATTCTGGTGATTCGTTGTTCGGTGTTCCTCACTGGAGCCAGCACACCCACTTCTTGCACTCCAATTCCCCAGCATCTGCCTGCTCCTGTCTCCCTGTTCCCTGTCCACATGTCTCCCTGTTCCCTGTCCTCATGTCTCCCTGTTCCCTGTCCACATGTCTCCCTGTTCCCTGTCCACATGTCTCCCTGCTCCTCTCCGCCATCTGCCGCTTCTCCCAGACGCCCCCGCGCCTCTGACTCTGCAGCAGCGGCTGGAGATTCTGGTGGGGGCAGCGTACGGGCTGGAGTATCTGCATAAGTTTGACATTGTGCACCGTGACATCAAGCCCGCCAACATTCTCATCGATGCCAACATGCAGGTGAGGTGACTCGCTGTTTGACTTTCGAGGCGCTTCATTGATGCCAACATGCAGGTGAGGTGACTCGCTGTTTGACTTTCGAGGCGCTTCATTGATGGCAACATGCAGGTGAGGTGACTCGCTGTTTGACTTTCGAGGCGCTTCATTGATGGCAACATGCAGGTGAGGTGACTCGCTGTTTGACTTTCGAGGCGCTTCATTGATGGCAACATGCAGGTGAGGTGACTCGCTGTTTGACTTTCGAGGCGCTTCATTGATGGCAACATGCAGGTGAGGTGACTCGCTGTTTGACTTTCGAGGCGCTTCATTGATGGCAACATGCAGGTGAGGTGACTCGCTGTTTGACTTTCGAGGCGCTTCATTGATGGCAACATGCAGGTGAGGTGACTCGCTGTTTGACTTTCGAGGCGCTTCATTGATGGCAACATGCAGGTGAGGTGACTCGCTGTTTGACTTTCGAGGCGCTTCATTGATGGCAACATGCAGGTGAGGTGACTCGCTGTTTGACTTTCGAGGCGCTTCATTGATGGCAACATGCAGGTGAGGTGACTCGCTGTTTGACTTTCGAGGCGCTTCATTGATGGCAACATGCAGGTGAGGTGACTCGCTGTTTGACTTTCGAGGCGCTTCATTGATGGCAACATGCAGGTGAGGTGACTCGCTGTTTGACTTTCGAGGCGCTTCATTGATGGCAACATGCAGGTGAGGTGACTCGCTGTTTGACTTTCGAGGCGCTTCATTGATGGCAACATGCAGGTGAGGTGACTCGCTGTTTGACTTTCGAGGCGCTTCATTGATGGCAACATGCAGGTGAGGTGACTCGCTGTTTGACTTTCGAGGCGCTTCATTGATGGCAACATGCAGGTGAGGTGACTCGCTGTTTGACTTTCGAGGCGCTTCATTGATGGCAACATGCAGGTGAGGTGACTCGCTGTTTGACTTTCGAGGCGCTTCATTGATGGCAACATGCAGGTGAGGTGACTCGCTGTTTGACTTTCGAGGCGCTTCATTGATGGCAACATGCAGGTGAGGTGACTCGCTGTTTAATTTTCGAGGCGCTTCATTGATGGCAACATGGAGGTGAGGTGACTCGCTGTTTGACTTTCGAGGCGCTTCATTGATGGCAACATGCAGGTGAGGTGACTCGCTGTTTGACTTTCGAGGCGCTTCATTGATGGCAACATGCAGGTGAGGTGACTCGCTGTTTGACTTTCGAGGCGCTTCATTGATGGCAACATGCAGGTGAGGTGACTCGCTGTTTGACTTTCGAGGCGCTTCATTGATGGCAACATGGAGGTGAGGTGACTCGCTGTTTGACTTTCGAGGCGCTTCATTGATGGCAACATGCAGGTGAGGTGACTCGCTGTTTGACTTTCGAGGCGCTTCATTGATGGCAACATGCAGGTGAGGTGACTCGCTGTTTGACTTTCGAGGCGCTTCATTGATGGCAACATGCAGGTGAGGTGACTCGCTGTTTGACTTTCGAGGCGCTTCATTGATGGCAACATGCAGGTGAGGTGACTCGCTGTTTGACTTTCGAGGCGCTTCATTGATGGCAACATGCAGGTGAGGTGACTCGCTGTTTGACTTTCGAGGCGCAGGTTGACAGAAGGTTGTTGCACGAGGGCGACGGGATTCTGACGTGCCTGAATCGGGCTTTGACACCATGCTGACACCCTTTTTCTGCCTAATGCTATGCCTGGCATTCTTCGCGCTCTGAATTCAATATGCCGTGCTAGTCCCGCTATGCTAGACTCTGCCGAGCTGCGCTCCCCATTGCACAGAGGTGGGTCCGTTCCCTGGCGGTGTCAAATTTGCTTGTGCACGAGACGTGAAAGAGATAGCGCGACTCTGTGCTGAGAGCCTCACGTGCCATGCAAGGGATGAGACGTCCGAGGCGGTCTGACACAAAGCATTGGACGTGGTACACGTTGGTCGGCCCCCAATATGTAATGCTGGTTACCATTGAATATGGGCCAATGAGCATGAAGCATTCGGATGCTTCATGGATTGTGCCCGGTTTCTCGGCTCAAGTCATTCGCGGGGTGTTTCCTCGTTTAAAAAACGCAAATCTGCATTACAACACCCTTGCATTTCATTATATTTTAAATAACATAGCACTTATAATAAGACCTGGGTCTTATCGGTTTTTTACTCTATAATAAACCCCCCCCCCCCCCCCCCCCTTTTTTGTGAAATCAATAACAGCCCCTAGGGTCTTTTATCCGGGGGAATACGGTAAGCCGCTTCATACTGGCTGAAGGAAGGAGGCCGCACCCAATCAATACATCTGCTGTTCTAGTGGAAGAGCTTGGGAAGAAGGTCAGATTGTTGGTGACAATAAATTTCTCACCTTCTTTCACATAGCCCTCGATATTCTTCTTGCTTGAGTCGGGAAGCCATACACAAGTGACATGTGGGACACCTCTCCTGGTACCGGTATATGCGCACACAGAATCCTTCTCCTAGGAAATTTCGCTGTGGTGGTACACTGGACAGACGAAGTAGGAACGTAAAATCGTGAAGTGCTCCCTTCCCTCTCCTGGAAGCGGATGAAACAGCGTGTCTTTATCAGCATCCAAGGATGAACTTTGGAGCTGTCCCACGCTTCTGTAGATATTGAAGATTCCGGCCCCTTTGATACTGCATTCGTTGGGAATATCTTGCTGAATCAGCAGCTGCATAACACTTGAGATAGACAGGCGAAGCAGTGCGATTAGGCGATCCACGAATCCCTTTTTCGCCTCCATGTACAACACCTTGCTGGTATTCTGTGCAGACGCAATAAGTGTTAGTGTCAGGCATGAAAATTCGTGCAGCGACGAGTAAGATTGGGGGAATTATTTATTACAGACCGTTTCGTAGACGAGAGTGACTTCTTTTGCCATGGCCAAGTAGTTGAGAATGCCGTGGCTGAGTCATTGAGAACAAGAAAGAACGATGAACATTCAGCAGATTGTGGAAATATACCATGTTTCAGTTCAGCTCGATTACACATCGACGACGGGTCGCGTTCAAGGTTGCATCCTCCCACAGGAACGGGCAAGAAACTGGTTCCGGAGGCACACAACCGTGACAAGTCCTCGACCAGCTCACGCATGCAACCCTCCGAGTCGCTTCTCGCACTTTTGGGACTCGAGCCAAGACAGGCGCATGAGTTCAATAGTTCATGGCCTTCCGTGGGGCGGCATTGAAACAGCTCCAAGCGATACATGTCACGTGACAGTCGACATGCATTCAAGCATGAGCTTTTGCACATCGCTGGACTGGACGAGGAGCATGGAGTACATTTGGCGGAAATAGTGCTTATAACATTTGCAGCTCTGCTACTCGTGTAAGGGAAATGTACCGTACGTACATGTCATCCACGTCTTGTGTCATACACACTAATATATTCAAGTGTTTTCTACTTCAGAACCAAACATTCTGCTAGAAAGGCATGATGCCGGTGTTGCGGAAGATAGTTTGTAGAAAGAGCAAGGCTGGAAGACTTGTACTGAATGGTTGAAAGCAGAACGAGAATAATGGAATTGATTAATTTCCTGGAATGACAGAGCAGGGTATATATGTCAGCAGCTCACCCCATCAGGAGGGCCCTGTCCACACCAATAATCCTACACCAATAATTCTACCCGCCAATAATTCTTACCCTCCAATAATTCTAGACTCCAATAATTCTGGCCTTCCAATAATTGTACAATTATTGGAGGGCTGGGAGTCTTATAAAGGAACACTACAGTAAAATCTAACGGCATTTGTAATATCTTATGTTGGTGTATTTAACACTCCCCCTTGCTGTAGGTTTTACTGCGTTTTGTCTTGGAGGATACCTGTAACTGGCGTTGATTGCGGCAGGATTGATTGAGTGGAGTTGATTGCGGAAGTGATTTTAGTTCCGGTGGGGATTGCGGCGGTTTGATTTACGTTGACCGTTTCGTGGTCAGAAACTGCATTGGTGGGAAATCGCGATGGTCGGAAAGTTCTGTAGCAGTTGTGACGACGCGCAGGTGCACGTTCCTCCCAAGTTGGCGACCTGGCTTGTTTGTCGCAACACAAGTTCCTCCCTCCTAGGGTTTCTGATTCTCTTCCCCACTTCTCGAACTCCCGTGCACTGTACACTCTCCTGTCAAGCTCTCCTTTCAGTTTGGCGCTTTTCACAGCTCCCGTTTCTCCCACACCCTTCTCCAGCAGGGGTCTGGCTGTCTCATCATTCTTGATTCCCAATCTTTTGTTTCATGCAGGACCTCCAGAACGATGGCTGCTGCTCAAGCTGCAATTTCCACGGTGAAATGACAGTTTAGGTCAGCGCGATTCCCAGCAGCAGGGCGGATTGCCTCCCTTGGTCTTAGGATAGCTGCTGCTGGCGAATATCTTCATGGCGCACGGCTTCTTTCTGGTCATGTGACCTATGACGCGCTGCTTTTTCCGCCTTCCAGTGCTGACCCGATTTCCTTTGCTGTCGCGCGACTGCTGCTTTAGTCGCGACGATTTTTTTTGTGTGCGTTGCGCTGCGCCATGGCGCGATGTCCTTCAGCTGTAGCTAGCGCGCATCACTAGCGCTCGCCATGTTATGGCTGGCGCTCGGTGACAGCATCGCACGTGACGACCTGCAGTGCCGGATGCGCGTTTCCTGCGGCTGCGGCCAGATCCGC